TAAATAAATAAATAAATAACTTCTGAAAAATATTTGACAAAGTACCATGATATACCTGTTAACAAGTCAATGATGATGATATTATGATGATATATTGGTCATGTCTGATTCTTGGCGATTCTATGGGCCAGGTCTCTATACATCTTCCAATTTTGCCCTGCTTCTTTGAGTTTGTCTTTGTTCTGACTGGTGTCAACTTTGATGATCTCCAGCCATCATTTTCTTTGGCAATTCTGGTTTCCTTATTAACAAGCTACTTAAATTTATTATTAAATTTATTAAATTTGTTTGCCACTCTTTTCACTGCAAGGTAATTCAGATCTTGTAGCATCAAACTGTGGATTGGATGGCATGACAATTACACAGCTGCCTTGAAAGATAGTTCACTAGTTCCTCTTTTAATTGGAGAGAAGTGACCAAGTTCTTGTTCATTTAAGATTCGTCTGGCTGTTCATCTTAAAATACAACTCACAATAACAAAGGACGTGCCATCAGAATTAGTTGATTTAGTAATTTTTTAATTAATGGTTTGGATAAAGAGGTGGAGATAATGCCTTTCAAAATTGTAGATGATACAAAACTGGGTTGATAGCTAATACCATAAAAGACAGAAATAAAACATAAAACAAGCTTGATAAATTGGAGAGATGAACTGAAAGTAGGAGGATGAAATTTAGCAGAACTAGTTGTAAAGTTCTTCCCTTTAGAATAGTGGTGCTCATAGAAACCTGACATCATGTTGTGGTGATGTATATAGAAATGGGACAGAACTTGCATCATGATACCACAATGCTACTAACACCAATCTTTCCCACTTCCCTCCTTCCCTCCTTCCCCCACGTGCATTATAGCAATAGCACTTAAACTTATATACCACTTCACAGTGCTTTACAGCATTCTAAGCAGTTTACAGAGTCAGCATATTGCCCAAACAGTCTGTTTCTCATTTTACTGTCCTCAGAAGGATAGAAGGCTGAATCAACTTTGAGCTGGTAAGAATCAAACTCCTGGCAGTGAGCAGTGTGTTAGCTTGCAATACTGCATTCCAGCCACTGTGCCACAATGGCTCTTTGATACCATTTAAGAAACAAAAGGCAAATGTATAAATGAGAAGTCAGAAGTACTTGGTTTGGAAATGGTATTTGTGAAAAAAAAATAGATTTTTAAAATTATGTCCCATCAAATCAGACTCCCAGTGACCATACAGACATACTTTCTTTTAGGATTATTTTTTCCAGTGGTGGGTTCCTACCAGTTTGGACCGGTTTGACTGAACCAGTAGTGGTTTGGCAGCCTGGGTGTCTGGAACCAGCACTGACCCAGGCCTGTGACGCCCCTGAACTGGTTCTCCGGGCGGTGCCTATGGTGCCATCATCTTGTTTTTTGCTTTTTTAAAATTGCACTGTGCATGTGTGCGCAGCGCGTCCACGAGCAAAATGGAAGTAGTACCTGTCGGAACCCACCCCTGATCTTTTCCCAACATGGCCTTTCAGATCTCCCAATGTATATGCATCTTGACTACAAACTGGTTATGAGGGGAATATGACTTGAAATAATGCAAAATGCGAGTTTAAGCTGTATCAACAAAATTCTCAAATCACCAATAGTACTGTAATCATTCCATTCTTTTCTATTTTACTTGGCTCCCTTCTTGAGTACTTTGTCTAGTTCTGTATAATGCACTTTAGCAAGAAAATTTGGAATAGATTCATAGCAGACCCATGAAGATGATTATGGGCTGCAATCTAAATCCTATAAAGAGAGATTGAAACAGTTGGATATATTTAGCCTTGAAACAAAATGACTTGGAAGATATGATTGCATTTCTCAAACAGCTGAAAGGTCGACACACGGAAGAAGGTTAATACCCACCCTTTTTCATTTCAGAGTAGAGGAATATGGAATAAATGCATGGAATAAAGAATTTTAATTATAAAAAGGAATGTTCCTATTGAATATTAGGGAAAAAAACCCTCCATAATAGTTAAAATAATGCCTCTGTGCATGGCTTTCATTGGCGTTTGGTTCAGTATTCCAGCAAGCAATAATTAACTCATTGCTCAACCAAGATGTATACACAGCTTACATAAACTTACTACAATCAATATATGAAAAAACAATGGTGACAATTTGCCTTAATGATCTTAAAGTAGAAATCAACATAGAATGTGTTGTACAACAAGGCAATATAATATCATCTATCCTTTTCTCAGCCTGCTTTGAAGAAGTATTTCGCAAACTAGACTGGGCAAAAGATGGAATAAAAATGAATGGCGCCTATTTAAATCACTTAAGATTTGCAGATGATGTTGTTCTCTTCTCACAAGACCCAGAACAGCTACATAGACACACACACAAGAGCTGCACAAAGCAGGAGAACCATTTGGCTTAAAAATAAACCTGAAAAGAATCAGGTTATGCTTAATAAATTCACTAAAGAAAGAAAAAAATGTATCTGGAGAAGATCTAGATGTAGTTGACTAGGGATGTCGGATCTGGCCTGCGGGATGCTTAGATCTGGTCTGTGGGGCCACCCAGGAAAACAGTGAAGGACACGCCCATGGTGCCTCTGCCAATAAAAACGGAGCTCGGGAGGGCTGGCAGAGGGTTGCAGGAGGCCATTGCAGCCGAAAACGGAGTTCAGAAGCCTGTTTTTCATGGCTAGCACTTGGGCCACCACAAGCACACCCAACATGAGTGACATCAAACTGGTCATGCCCATTATGGCCACGCTCCACCCGAGGTCAGACGCAACCCTGATGTTCTCTCAATGAAATTGAGTTTGACACCCCATTACTTATCTCTTAGCCAACAGATCTCAGTGTAAAATGATACAATTAAGGAAATTGAATGGTTTGTTAAATGTGGTTGGCAGGCATTCTGCAAGCTAAGCATAAATTTAAAGAACTACCTTCCCCTATGCCTGAAGAGAAACATTTTTGAACAGTGTGTGCTACCTTCTCTAATATATGCAGGTGAAACAGGGACACTAATGTCACAATTGATTCAAAAGCTATGAGTGGTGCAAAGAGCCATGGAAAGATACATGCTGAGCATCACAAGACAAAATAGAAAGACCTGCACATGGATTAGAGAACAAACAAAAATATATAATGCCATCAAAAGAGTAAAAGAATTGAAATGGAAATGGGCTGGTCACACTTCAAGAAGAACTGATGGAAGGTGGACCTAGGCAGTCACAGAATGGATCCCCTTGATAAAAAGTGACCACAAAAGAGACCTAAAACAAGAAGGACCCACGACATCAGCAAATATTGTGGGCCCAATTGGCAAAAGAAAACTCAGGACAGTAATGGTTGGAAACATTTGGAAAGAGGCCTTCATCCTGCAGTGGATAGACAATGGCTAAAATGATGATGTGCTAAGCTTTAATTGTAGATTAGGGAAAGAAACAAATGAGAAACTATGATTCATACTTTTGGCTTCTCCCCTAAACTATGCTTAGTACCATATTTTTCGGAGTATAAGACACACTCCCCCCCCCCCAAAAAAGAGGGTGAAAATGTGGGTGTGTCTTATACACCGAATGTTGCAAAAAATGTGAGGCACGGAGGAGGTGATGGTCTGTGGCAATCCCTGCAGCCTGAACAGCTGATTGGGGATATTCTGGGAGGCCAATTCACCCGCCAATCAGCTGCTCATGCTGAATCAGGCTGCAATAATGTGCTGAAGCTAACCTGGCTGTTCGCTATTTGCAAGGACATGTCAGAGTTTGCAGTAGCAATCACATTTAGAAAGCTCACACAAGTAACTGATTCAGCGGGATTCAATAACTTCTCTTTATATATAATATAACACACTAAGTAAATATGCAATACCAAAAGCAAGTTTTCCAACCTGGTAGTTCAGCAGAGAAGTTTCACTTTCAGTTTTAGTTTCAGATATCAGCAGAGCATGCAGCTTTAGTACAGAACAAACCACGCCCTGGCTCCTTTCTGTCTCCTTCCTTATTGCTCACGCAGCAAATACTTTTTGTTTCCAAACAGCCCTCAACTCTCTCACACACGGAAAGGACGCTAGCCAGATGAATAC